TTTCAAATATCACAAACGAATTTATAACAGAAAATCAGAGATACAGATATCGACAATTTAATAATAAAACAAAATTTAAATTACATGGAGATGTAAAGTTGTGTTGAAATCATTACACACAATCACAAGAAAATTACCATTATTACTTTATTGGTATTAATCTTAGGTGCTTATGGTCTAAACTGCGAAGTGGTGCTTATTCTCAGGTGGTTCTTATTTCCGGTATTTTCGCATGATTCCGATCACTACCAGGTGTCGAGATATCGTCCTTAAAAATCACCGTACGTCAAAAATTTTCACATAAATTGGCGAAGATCTAATATATCTCGATACCTAGTTATCAGAATTCTAGGTAACGGTGCATAGTTTGAAATCAGGAAATTATCACAATTTACATTACTTGACTTATCTTTAAATATCATTTATTAGGAAAAATAGTGTATTTACGTCAATTACAGCTTGCACTTTTCTTGATATACTTCCAACCAAATTTCCGGTTTGATTTTTCCCATTTCTTTGCGAGTGCATCATCAATTCTTGATTTTTGGAATGAATTTGGTTATGCACGAATGCAAGTGTTGGTTGGTTTTTTTCATCATTTGAAAGCTTACGATTTCTGCTTAAATTATGATAGGAGAATAATTCGTAACAGAGAAATATTATTAAAATTCACTAACGGAAGTCAAGAAAATCTGATTATACTGTGATGCAACTTTTGTAACGGTGAATGAAAATTTAGTTACTATCGAGGCTCAACATCAAAACGAACATTCTATTCTTATTATAACGGATCTGTCGGGCTGAAAAAAATCAATCCGTTACAATGAATTGCTTAATAAAAAAATAACTAAGTTCAGACGCATTTCTCCGCTATAACGAGGGATCCGGTTTAACGAATGTAGAGTGTATGTACAGAACATGCATTTATCAGGATAAGTTTTAATTAGATTACTGATAATTGCTGAAAAATTTGATTTATAAAGTTGTCTTTAATCAAAGCTTAGATGATGCTGTGCTGGTAATGCGAGGTGACATATTATATGTATATAATAATGTTAATAAACCAAGCGAAGCGAAGTTGATTAATAATAATGAGCAAACGTTTATGTTCAATATAGTATTCATAAAATGAATTGGACTGGTGGTAAAAGGTTTATATTTTCTGTTTATTTATCACATCTTGTTATAATTTCGTCATTAATGAAGTTTGATGATAAAGAAACGCGATAAAAGGAAAACATGAAAAACAGAAACAACGAGAATTCTTTAATCGACAAAGACTACGAAAAGTTCGTGTTTTTCTAAACCCTGTGACAAGAAAAACGCGGGGACTGCCAAATATCGATTTACTTTTTCATCGTCGTGATCAAAATTCTACATCAAATGATGAAGTGAATAACAGCAAGGATAACGACACTGACAATATCAAATTAAGTGTTGGTGAAGATAATAGTGACGGCGAAGATGGAGAAACGGATACACCCGTTGTTGAACAAGAAGAACAATCTACTATTACATGTCACCGAGAGAGTGACAATAATAATAATGATAATAATTATATTAATTTCCTTATTGACAATTCATTTGATGACGACAAAGATGTTGGATTGGATTTTCGACTACGACGAGAAAGCGTTGAAAACTCTAAGAAAATATCAGGTTTATGTTATTACTTACTTCCTCAACTTTTCTTATTAATGGTTTTTGTTTATTCACTATTAATCGCTCTTTACTCGTATAATAGATATCAATGCGCGTAAGAAAAATATTTTAAAAGATATTGATTGGGCCGGTATTTCCTCTTCTTTGGTATGATTTAGGATAATTATCATTATTTTTTTTCTTATTTATGAAATAAAAAATTTGCGTTTTCTCCCTTTTTTAGGTCAACAAACCCCAATCAAGTGCACAATTTATGTCTAATGGTGATGAATACGATAACGACAATGTTGATACAGAACAACCGGGTAAGAATATAAAAAATCAAGTTCTACGATAATAGCATTCAGACATCATGACGATAATTTTACGCAATCTTTCTCTTCCTTAGATGCAAATCAACATCATAGCAATGACGACACTGAAAATGATCACCAAGACAAAAATGAAATTGAAACAAGGTATCATTTATTTCTTAAAAATAATTTATAGTTTATAATTTCAAACTAATATTTATTTATGTTTAGCGACGAGAATAGTTCTGTTAATGATGATATTCCTTCTACACAACTTGAAGAACCTGCAGATTGGCCAAATTCTACAATTGCAGCACGTCCAATTACCATCGAGTCATTGGAATGGTATAAATTTCTATCGAATTCTCAAAATCACAAAAATCCTTTGAGTGAAGAAGAGATAAATGCTTATTATAATAAAGACTCGACAACGATGCTGATAGAAAAAAATCAGATAGAATTAACAAATGACTCTAGTACCTTGCCAACCAATTCATACATCTACAATAACAATGGTAATACCGATGTCGATGATGATGATGACGATAATTCATCAATAGATCATAACAGTAAATCAATTGAATCGGTATCGAATTTGGCATGGAATAAATTTCTTGATCAACAGGATAATAACAATGAAACACTTTCAATAGATAATGAGGAAAACAAAAAGCTTCAAAATGATTTTCATGATGACGACGTGTACGATGAACGACAATATTTGAATTCTTGTTCTATTCAAGCCAATTACAGTCCACAACTTAGTCTTAGAAGAACTATTCCTACTACAATAACAGAAAATATCGCCACCACTTATATCAACTATAATGATGAACATGAACATCGAGAGATTAATCTTTCAGGAAGTCATGAAGACAATATTTCAATTAAAGAAAAACCATCAACATCACCACTATCAGAGGATATTAATAATAACAACGATGACAAGGATAATGATTATAAAAAGAAAAATGTATTGTTTATGAACTGAATCTTGTTGTTATCGTTATTATATTTCATTCAATTATTTTCTTTTTAAAATATTCAAATAGGAAAAGTTAATTGATCGAGTTCATCAACTTGAAATAAAAAATGTTATACTTTCGATTGAACTGGGTTTTCTCAAAGATGATGTACGAATGCTGAAAGAAATTATCAATACTGCGACAACAAATGAATATAATGAAATCATTGATGTATCTTCAAATCATCAGCAGCAGAGACACAAAGAATCCAATAACAAAACAATAATAACACTACCAAAATTAATGAATTTACAGAAACATTCGAAATTCCAACAGAACTAATTAATAACAAACAAAACATCAACTACTATTGCTGACGTTAATAATAGTCGAACATCAGCATCATTATTGAACATTAAATCGTTTATTCAATCAACTACTCCTTATTCTTTATTCGATATAAAAACACCTAAAAATCAAATTCGCCATAATCAAAATTGCTCAACACCATATACTAACGAAATCTCACAATACTACAATGTACTTTATTGATGATGGATGAATTTTAAAGATAAAAATAAATGAAATTTGTTGATAAACCATTTCTAAAATATTTCTAAACTGTTATTAAACCATTTGTAAACTATTATTAATTTCAGAGCTAATTATTTATTAATGATCTTAAAATATTGCAAAAATATTGCAAGAATATTACAAAAATATTGTTGAATCATGATTGAATCCATAACTGATATACCAATTATATTATTTGAAATCACATATCTTCTAAAGATTAATTAATTGGTCAAATTTTCCAAGTTCAAAAAATTATGAAATTAAAGAAATTTATATTACTACAGTAATAATATTCAAGAGAAAAGTTTTATCAATTTTAATATCTTTGATAAATTCAAATTACATGAGTAAATCCAAGAGTATAATATTAGTTTTTTGTTCTGTATTATTACAGGTAAGTAATCTATAAATTGAAAAAGTGATCATTTCAAAAGATTGATGAGTGAGTATTTTCTGTTAGATTTCTTCAAGAGATTTGATTATCAAAGATATAATCCAAGTAGATAGTTAAGATATGATAAGAAATAATAAAAGTAAGAAATATAAAAGAATTTAAAAAGATATAAGATAATAAAGATAAAAAGTAATAGATAAAAGTAAAAATATAAAAGAATAAAGAAAAAGAAAAGAAAAATAAAGAGAATATTTATGAACTAAAAATTATTATAAGTAATAAGATATTAAAAATATTGGGATAAGGATAATTATAAAAATAGATAAAAATAAGATAGAAGATAATTTCAAATATAAAGATAACAAAAATTAAAGGGATGATTTATATGAGTTACTTAATAATAATTTGTAATTCAAAGTAAACTTGATGATTATGATAATATTTGAGCTGTCTTTTATTAATAAAATACTTGTGAATATTTCTTTTTTGATCACAAATTTTATAAGAGTTATATTCAGCATAGTCATAAATATAATACCATTCTTTACTTCAGATAAGTTGAAATTTATCTCTAATTACTAAATATTATTTCATGTTAAATAGTAATACTTTATTTTCAATTTTAAATATTGTTTTATTTTAAATTTTGTCATTGAATATTTGAGAATATCACAGTTATCATTCTTTTATATTAAATTTTACTTCTAAAATTTATTGAGATAACTAATCTATTGTATAATATATTTATTATATTAATTTTTCTTCTTCTGTGAAATCTTTTTCCAGATAAGCAGGAATTTTTAATTTTATTAATAATTTAGCATTTTGTCTATAAGTTAAGAAAAATGGTTCATGTTTAGTTATTGAATTTTAATTAGTTTAAAAGATAAAAAGAGCATCAAAAATAAAGATATCTCATTCTTGTTTATATATTATTGTTAATTTTTATAAGATTTTACATAGTATTTTATTTATTTATGAGTGATAAGGTGAAAAAAATTTATGTTTAATTTCAAATTTATTGATAATTCTTTGATTATTTCATTGATAAATTCTAATCTATTATTTGATTAAATTTCTTTAGAATATCCATGTCTACAAATTATTTCTTTAAATATAAATTTTGTAATTGTAGTAGCTTTCTTATCTGAAATTACTTTAGCTTCAGGTCATTTTGTAAGATAATTTATCATTATAATAATATATCAATTTCCAGTTATTATAATTTTACTAGATCTAATTAAATTAATAATTAGTTTGTTGAAAGATTATCTAATTTTAATAAAATATAAAGATTATTTGATAATTCTTCTACTAGTTTGCTAATAGATTTTACAAGTCTTCATATAATTCTTTATATTAGTTTCTATATTATTTTATCAATATTTATTTGCAATTTATTGATAGATTTCTTCATATCTAAAATATTTAGATAAAGAGCTTGAATATAAATTAATAAGAATAGTTTCCATTTTATTTTCTTTGATAACTTTAAGAGATATAGTTAATTCTTTTCTTTTATTAATTTTATATAATATATCATTAATTTATAAAAAGTATTTTGCTTAATTATGAATTTTGTATTGTTATTCAAAAGTTGATTCTGCAGAATAAGTTTTGTTATTCAAATATCATTGTAAATTATAATAAGTTATCAAATCCATATTATTATTATAAAGAGAAAAGTTATTTAATAATTTTCTAAATATATTCAGAATAAGGTATCAGTATTTTGATTCTTTCTTCAAGATTGATAAGTAATAATAAAAATATATTCTATAAGAGATATGATCTATTGATTTACTCTAGCAAAATAACTTGATTGATTTTTAAATAACTATTTCAAGATATTATAATCAGTAATTATTTTAAAAACTATTTTAAGTAGATAATAATGAAATTATCTAACAGCTATACTACTACTAGTACTTCTTTTTCAGTTATTTCATATTTTTATTTATTTGATTTCAAGATGATACTTACATAAGTAACTACTTATTCTCTTTCATCTTTATTTTTTTGAGATAAAATAGCTTTAAGTTCTGAGTCTGAGACATTGATATAAAAATAGAATTTCTTTATAAAGTTAGGATAAATCAAAATAGATACAGTTGTAAGATATCATTTTATTTATTAAAGACTTCTTCTTATTCTATAGTTTAAATAAATAATTCTTTATTATAAAGTAATTTAAATAAAGAAATAGCAATTTGAGAGAATTCTTTTATAAATTTTCTGTAATATCTAGCTAATTCAAGAATGATTGGAGTTCTTTAATAGTTTTTGGTTGAAGAAAGTTTTTGATTTTCTGTATTATTAATAGATTAGGAGAAATTTCTTCTTTAGCTATTATATATTTAAGAAATAATAGTTCTCTTCTATAAAAGTTATATTTTTCTGGATTAAGTTTCAGATTGGCATTTCAGATTCTGCAAAATACTTTATTGAGATAATCCAAGTGTTTTTCAAAATTTTTTGAGAATATGTTCAAGTTATTAATATATATATTGACAAAATTATAATTATATTCTTCTAATAAAGTATTCATAATTCATTAAAAAGTTACTAAAGCATTATATAATCCAAAAAATATAATATTGAATTCAAAAAGTTCTTTTCTAAAGATAAAAGCAGTTTTAGATTTATCTTTTTCTTTTATTTTGATTTGCCAATATTTAGAGGTTAAGTCTATAAATAAAAATCAATAAGCATTTTTAAGAAAATTTATTATTTTATTAATTCTTGATAATAAATAGGTATCTTTTTGAATGATAGCATTTATCTTTCTGTAATTAATAAAAAATCTTTTTTTTCTATTCTTTTTGAAAATATAATAATAAGTAAAGTCCAAAGATTAGTTGATAGTTAAATAATATTTGCTTTTAATATTCTTTGAATTACTTCTGATATGAATGATTAATCTAAAAGAGTAGTTCTATAAGATTATTATTTAATAGATAATTTATTTTCAGTATGTATCTCATATTGAATTATATTACTTTGGTCAAGTTGATGTAATTCAGTTACAAAGATGTTAACATTATTTTCTAGTAGTTGAGTAAGAAGTCATTCTTGTTTAGCAGTTGACTTTTATTATTTAATAACTTTCTCTTTTTATTCTTATTTCAGAAAATAGATATAAGTTTCTTGATAATTAGTAAATTCAAATCTAGCTATTTCTTGACTAGATTATTCTAATTTTTTTCTGGTTTAAGTTAGTTAACAAATGCAAGTTGTAAGAATACTAGTTAAGTGATTTTCTAATCAGACTCAATAATATAACTATTTTCTGAATTATTTTGAATGATAATACTAATATTTCTAATATATCCAGAGTTAATAATTCTAACTTTAATATTAATTTCTTGTTTTACAAGAGATGAGTAAGATATTACTTGATATATAACTCCTATAGGAATTTTTATAGTAATATAAATATCTACTAGTATAACTTGATATGATAAAATTCTGATTACTTCTTTTTCAATATAATAAATATCATATCCTGTATTAGTAAGATATACTTTTTTTGATAATTTTTCTTTATCTTGATTATTATAAACTTTGATTATATAGTATTTATCATTTTGTTTCACAGAGGTATTCTTTAAATAATTATTAAATTATTATAAAAATTTATTAAGTATTTGATAAATAATATTAAATTTTTCATATATTTTATCCAATTCAAGTTGAGAAGATTGATTTAAAATAGGAGTATAATTTATTTCTTCAATTAATTTATTAGTTACTGCTTCTTTTAAAATTAGTTTTAAAGTTATAGGTCATTTTTCTTTATCTAATTTAACTAGAAATTCAGTTTATATATAATTATCACATTTATTATTGTCACAGAGAATTAGATATTCTTAACAGAGTTTTATATTAAACAAGTTGTTATCTTCAATTAAGACTGAGTTATTGATATATATATATTAAAATATTTTAATGGTAGAGACTTCTATAAAATTCTCATAGATAATTTTATGAATAAAGTTATCTTTATATATAAAGCAAAATAGAATTACTTTACTAATTTCATTATATTCTTCATAAATTTCTAATAGTATTTTTCTTTCTCTAAGCTTGTTAATTATTTTGATATTTTTTCTTCATTCTTTATAATTAAACCAATAAATATATTAATATTTATAAGTATAGAAGTATTTCTTTTCATAGCTTTTAGTAATAAATATTTCTTTAGATTTATTATATTCATCATATTGAGAGCAGGCAGGAAGATTAAGTTATTTTTCTAATATAATTATCATAAGCAGTTGTTTTTTCTCTATTTATTTTGAAATATGTTCCAGTATAATATTTGTCTATATATTTTTCACATTTTCAGTATCTTTCAATTTGAGAGTTGAGA